ACTCTACTACATGCTCATGTTCTCTAAGTTCAGCTTTGCACTCCTTTGTTGCTACCACCCAGACACGGACAGTCTGGTCATTAGAACAGCTGGCAATCAGTGTGCCATCCTGGTTAGGTCGTACCATGCGGACCCATTCTCGATGCCCCGTGAAAGTCTTCACACAGTAGCTGTTCACAGGAAAGAAGACATGCCTCATCAGTACAAGATTGCTACAGAGAATGGAACCAATAAAACGGGTGGTCTGAGAACAGTTCAGGTGGCTGCAGGATTTCCTCCCCTCCCACCCCCCGAGCTAACCTGTAGTGTCTTGCCAACTTAGTTTAGAGATTTTTGTTATTAAACTGGGTTGGGAAGACTATGGGGATTTTGAATAAGCAGACAACAAGGCAATTGGGGGTGGGTGGGTGAGTGGGTGAGAGAAGTTAAAGAAATAATGATCTGAGTAGGGGCATAAAATGGTCTCGGAGGTTTTCCAGGACAGCCACCAATATCAGACCAGAATACAGAAAGTATCCAAAACCCAACACTGGAGAAAGACGGGAAAACTGAGATCACTTTCCTTGCAAGTCTAAAGAAATGTTGGTATCACACTGGGCTACAGCCTATGAGACAAATGAGAAGAGCTGGACTTATATAATACAAAGTTGTTAAATCGGAATTGAGCAACCTAGCACCGCAGGTTGAAGGCAACACCTGGTTTCTGTGCAGAAAGCCAAGGGCCATGTTTTAAAATTGAGACAACCAGGATGAAGTACAAAGCCAGGTGATTTCAATGTTGAGCTGAATGAATACGATCCCTCTCCATGCACTGAATGGTTTTTTCCCCTCCGATTTACAAAAGTACAAGGTTTTCAGACATTACATTAAATCAATATGTTTTCCTCCCTGAACAGAATTTCAGTATCACAGTGGCTTAAAAAAAAAGTAGGGGAGAGGGAGGAAGAATGTCACCAGACTTAGCCCAGAACTTTATAGAGACAATTTGCCTTTATTTCTCACTTGTTCATCCCTGTGCTAAAATGTAACAGCCACACTGGCTACACAGATTGGTGTGTTCAATACAATTGCAGAGTTGGAAGGGACCTTGGAGGTCTTCTAGTCCAACCCACTGCCTAGGCAGGAAACCTTATACCATTTCAGACAAATGGCTATCCAACATCTTCTTCACTTAAGTTCCTAGTGAACCTTCTGCTTAAGGCGATAATACAGCAGGAATCCACGTTATGAAATATTGGAAAGGGCGTGACCAAAGGTGAGTGTTCAGTATGTTTGTCTCCAGGAGCAAACAGAGGCCCTGGTGTGTGGTATTACACAATCAATATGGAAGTTTGTGTTGACAAAGAAAATACTTTGCCTTCCGATATTCCAGGAGAACCAGGGAAGCCATGAACAGGTTGGCACGTATTTTAAACAGATTTGGTTGTNATTCGCTTAACCACGGTGACAACAAAGGTCGTAAAATGGAGCAAAACTCACTTAACAACTGTCTCACTTAGCAACCTTTTAAAACATTTTAATACCTATTTATTTGTTAATCAATGCTTATGTCATCTCAATCATGAAAAGATTCTAAATACAGTATCATCAAGTAAATAAGTAAAAGTAACAAAAGGACAAAATTGACATTAAATAAAAGACGCACATCAAGGAAGGCAACTAAACAAACATACTGGCAACTAACCAGCAACATGGAACCAACTGTATACCAAGCCTGTCAACCCCCCGCCCCCCAAATTATTTATGGCTTTATAAACACCCAAAAGAGTTATAGTTATTTAGATAGCTGTATTTTGAACCACTTGTAGCTTGGTCAAGGGTACAACATGTTGCAACAATCCACACAGGTGGGTACTAAGGCATGAGTGACTGCAAGAGGGCTTCCTAGTTCAAGCAGGCAGTAATATAAATGTGAGAAATAAATAAAAGGGATGTGATTGGTACAGAAGATGAATGTATTATACAAAGGCCCTCCTGGTCATGGCTGCCCTCTCCTCATAGAGCTGGAGACAAAAGTCCAGGAGAACCACCAAAACTGCATGCCAGTTCTTTCCCAGACAATGTCAATCCCTTCTAGAACTGAAGATGGCAAAATCAAGATGTCAGGTCCCTGAAACCCAGGCTATTCAGTCTTCCTAGAGCTCAGGCCAAGCTTCTCACCCACAGCCATAACCAGACACTAGGACAGGGCTTCTACAGCATTGCTTATTTGGCTAAGGATGAAGATATAGAACTTGGTATGATTGGCATACTGATGGAACCAAATCCCACGCCAGCAGATACCCAATGGTTTCAGGCAGATGTTGAATAAGAGTGTCGAATTCTGTGGGACCTCACAAAACTAACGCCTGGGATCTTTTCCAAGGAGCAACGCCCTAGATTGCCCCCCCCCCAAACAACACCAATTAGAAACTCGCCCAAAGGAAGGAGAAACACAACAAAATAGAGTCATCCCCCAAAATATCCAGAGACCATTCAGAAGGACACCATAACCCAGGGGTGTCAAACTGGCGGCCCGCGGGCCAGATGTGTCCCATGCAGCTCCACGAAGGCAAAAAACATTGGGATACATCATGTAACATCAACGTGACACAGCAGGTTTGACACCCCCGTGCCATAACCAATGGTATGAAATGCTTTGGAAAGATCAAGCAGGACCACTCTTGGATACACACATATCTATCTCCAAGCTCATCTACAAGCAGTCAGTACTGTATGCAGACCTTAGATCTGTGATGGCGAACCTGTGGCACGNCCCCTAAGGCTGTAACCTTGCAGATATTGAAAGAATGTGGAAATAGCAAGGGAGTGGCCTCCTGCCAGAACCCCCAAGTATTTTAAATGAAAGAAAGATTGCTACAGAAATTAAAGAAGGACAAGTGGCACCCTTGACTTCAGGCAACCTATAAACAGTTTTTTTTCAGTCCTCAAGACCATCTATTCTTTGACTCTGTAATCAAAGCTACGCCATCTGAATGGGCACCGGGGAAGGATGGTTATATTTTGAATAGCAAAAATTGATTGTCACATTCAAAAAAGGTCACTGCAGGCCTGGAAGAGGGTAGCTGAATAATCATGGGCTGGAAACCCCAAAGAGGACACAGAACTGCTAAAGTGGAAAGGAGGATTACTGAAATATAAAATTTATGCATGCTGCTAAAAGTTCTTGGCATTTTCTAAGCTTGGAGGGTTCCCTGCAGACATTTAATTATCAGGCTAGGTAATCTCATCAGTGCATAGAAAAGAGGAATCTTAGCTGTTGCTCATGCTGGCTAAGGCTGGCAGGAATTGGGTTAAAATCACAACACTTGGAGGGTAACCATCTCTTCTCTTCACTCACTTTATCCCCAGGGAGAAAGTTTGTGGATATTAGCTACCATTTTTAACTGCGCTTTTTGAAAAATAGCAAACATTTTCTGCCTCTGGGCTAGAAACACTGCTACTCAACTTCCTCCAGAAGCCATAAACTTGTTTTCAGAAACATGTTCTGCCTATTGGGGCTCTTTAAAGACACAGTCAGGAAGCAAAAATAATATTTCTGAATGCCTCTCAGCCACAGTTCTGAAATGGAGAACAGGCAAGTTTTTGATTCAAAGAACTGAAGAGAGAAACAATTTCTTTGCTTTTGAATGCATCACAATAGCAAAAATGAACCAAAATGGATGCTTCCCATGGTGACTGAGTTGCAATGGCATCAGATAGTAAACAAACAGTAAGCATTACAGCCTTTTGCTCCCACTCAACGTATTATACTGCAACGAAACCTGTAACATTTTAACACCAGTAGAGTACAGCGAAGTTAAATTGTAAGCAGCCAGTAGTAAGAAAACAAAATACACCGGGCAACATAGCAGATTAGTGACAAGAGTGATTAACATATGCATGAACTGCATATGTTAGGGCTGTGAGTCATGTCTCCCCATGTTTTGCTCCACCCTAGAAAATAATCTGCTAATACATTGGAGAGGAGCTTAGGATAAAACTATGATGTTCATGTGGAGAAGATACTACTGCGTGAAAAAGGTTTTAAGGATGTGAGTACTCCTACCTGCTACACAAAACCCTCCAATACATGGGTAATCAAGCACTATGTGAGGACTAAGCCTTGGGACAAATATCTTGAATGTGATGTCTTCTTGTTCACAACATCATCAGAACAGAGAAGAGGTATATACCTAGTTTTTAATTTCATCTAACTATTGCTAATGATTTTTTTAAAACAATTCCTTACCATGCATGGTTCTGATGCACTCAAAGCCTTGGAAGTCCCATAGCTTGATGGTCATATCTGCAGAACAAGAGGCCAGTAGCTTGCCACTATGGTCGAAGGAAATATCCTGCACAGAATCTGTGTGGCCTTTCAGGGTGCGCTCAAAATCACCTGTCTCATAATCCCATACCTAGGAATTAGAGAAAGGAATTGGTAAATATGCATTGCCAACAAACTATTTTGTTCCCCTACATTTGCTTCAAAAGTACAGTTTGCCCTCGACTTACAACAGTTCCATTTAGTGGTCATTCAAAGTTAAAATGACACTGAAAATGGGCGTTGGTTCTTACCTGATACGCTCATTCTCTGTTGAAGTGGAGACAGCAGCCAGAATAGGGACCATTTATGATCATTTTTCACATTAACAATTGTTGCAACATCCCCCATGGTCAGATGATCAAAATCCAGATGCTCAGCAGCTGGTTCATATTTTTGATGGTTGCAGTGTCCTGGGGTCATGTGATTGTTTTTGTGGCCTTCTGACACGCAATCAACAGGGAAGCCAAATTCACTTAACAATTGTGTTTCTAACTTTAACACCTGCAGTTATTCGCTTAACCACGGTGACAACAAAGGTCGTAAAATGGAGCAAAACTCACTTAACAACTGTCTCACTTAGCAACCT